TTATTATTATTAACAATAATAATAATAATATTAAAGCTACAAAAATTAAATTAAAAAATAAATAAATAATAATAATAATAATAAATTGTTAATATAAACAATTAAGAAAAAGCTTCTTTTTTTTATTTTATTTCTACTTTAACTTTATTTAAATTTATTTTTCTTAGCGCATATAAATAATAAATGCATATGTACATATATGCTTTATTAATTTATTTATGTATGTATATATTATTAAAGTTATTTTCACTTATGTCATCCATTCACGCAATCAAGTACGTACACGCACACACCACACGTACATGTTATAAATGCATGCGTATTTATATATATATATATGTATGTATATTATGTATTATGTACTCAGTGGGGTACATAAATCATTTATTTTTTTTAATAATTTGTTCCCGAATAATTGATTTTATTTATATATATATTAATATTGCACATTATAAACATGGACTAGATTTATTTCGATTGTTTTTTTTTTTTAGTCTTTTTTCTAAAAATTTTTTTTGATTTTTATTTTACACACTTATTTATTATTATTATTATATTTTCGGTGTGATAAAAAACACTTTTAAAATTTTAGGCCTTTATTAATAATAATAATAATTGTTAATTTTATTTCACCGATTAATCGCGAATCGATATTTTTTTGTTTTATGTAAAAAGCCTACAAATGGCTTTGAATGTTTTCGTTTTTTTTTGTCAACGAATTTAACGGGGGGGCGGGAATTTACACGGTTTTTTTTGCGGGGGGAGGAGAGGGTATACCTTACCCTTAAAAAAAAAATAATAACGATAATAATAATATGTCACTAATAATAATAATAATGAGTATCTAATTAATAAATCACTGTTGGCTCAACACGCACTGTTGTCTTTTCCTCCCACATTTCCCGTCCCCGTCCCACATTGTTCGTTTCCGTTCGTTAACTGTGCTTGTTCCTTGTACATTGAAGAATTTACAAATCTCGGATACGAATCTCTGTGCATGAGAGTGTAAATTTGAAGTTGTGCCTCGTCGAATATGTGGGGAGTCGGAGCAACCATGCTTTTATTAACTTGCTCCCGAACTCTCGCGTCCAAACTCACCTAAAATCCACCGAATTCAATATTTTTTTACAAGAGTCGGGCAATGATAATAATAATAATTAATTTGATGTTATTACCTCTTTTGGTGATAGTATGGAAATGTATTCTTCATAGATAACACGTGCTTTTTCCTCGACTTCCTCGGAATTGGACGCTTTTTTAAGCTCTTCGCAGGCCAACCAAAATAATATGTTTTCTTCACTGTATTCGCACCGCAAGAAATCTCGAAATACATTACGACCGGCTATTCGATTTAAATATAATTTATCATCATTATCATCATCATCATCATCTCTGTTATCAATGACATGAAAAGTTATTAAAAAAAAACTTTACCTGCACTCTTCATCAACTTATCAAATGATGTCCCCCAACTTCGAATTTCTTCCAACCTGTACAAAAACAAACCGAACAATTGTTTAAAATTTTAATTGTTTAAAAAACAACACATAAAC